ACTTTTTTTTACATATTTTATTTTTATTTTTATTTTTTTTTTTTTTTTACATACTGTCACCCTAGCAGTACAGCGTCACCATGGTGACACTGTACTACTTGTGAGGGGTGATGAAGATTTTTTTTTTTTTTTTTACACTGATTGCTTTTACACCCATATAGGATGTAAAAGCAATCATTTCTCTTTCTCTCTGTGTGCATTCTTGCACTCATTGAGAAGAACTGAGTGAGCTGTGATTGGTCATAGCTTGTCACATGGTACAAGGCTTTTGTGAATAGCCTTGTACCATGTGACCTCTGATCATTCACAGATTTCACACATAGTAAGCAATGATGTCAGAAGTGACATCTTGCTTACTACTTTGCATGTGATCACTGATTGGCCAATCAGTGATCACATGATCGGGACCTCGTACAGAGGTCCCGTCGACGACCGGTGTTTCACTGTGTCCGGAGGACACAGCGGGCACCGGATCGCGGTGCTGCGCGCTCCCAGGGGAGCGCGCACAAGCAGGCTGCGGGGAGGCCGTTTTATAGACGGCCACCCAACCCTGCACTGCCACCATCCAGCCGTTTATATACAACGGCCGGTCGGGAAGTGGTTAAGGAGTCATGTCCTGTCAGCTTTTCATTATAGTAGTCCATTACTGGTTCGCACATGTGCAGTAGAGCCTTCACACATACGCAGTTGTATTTTGGACGTCCGCACCCGGCTGATGACGTCATACGTCAGCCAGCGTGGAGGATATAAAAAGGGCGGGATATTTAAAAGTGGTCTTTCTGCTAATCACCAGTGCACACTGAGTATCCTGGAGGCTGTTTTGGATCTGAACTAAGGCATTTAGATTGTTCAATGGGTGGGCTTCAAGAAAATGGTGACTTCTGTCACCTGAGGGCTTGCTTTATATTGCATTCTTACAGTAGTGATGGTTTTTCAGCCAATATCTTCTGGACTGATGTCCTTTGCTGACACCTAGTGGTGGAATTGGAAATTGATCTTCAATTAAAATCCTTTGCTCATTTTCCCTGCTACTTTAATTGCAATATTTAACACGCAAGATCAGTTTAGTTAACTTTAACTCTTGATTAACTTATAACCCTTTCCTTATATTCCTTTTTGGAATTAAATTAATCTTTTGATTCCCCTGTTTATTCCGTTACACCTAGATAGGTATCTGATGCCCATTATATTTTCCAACCATATCCTGTTACGCTTAGATGCTTATTTGATGCCCATTATATTCTTCAAACTTTTTTGGACTATATAGGCCAATTAGACCTTTAGACAGAATATACTTTTATATTTCTCTGCAATTTTCAGCAGATAAAAGTTAATTTCTATTAATTAACATCTCTTGATTTATTTTTTTAAATTAAAATTAGTTTCTGATCTTTGTCTATCCTATTATGTCTAGATGGATGTTTGAAGTCCAATGTTTCCTTCACTATGGTTGTGGACATATAGGTCAAATAGATCTTTGTTAGGTTATACCTATATATCCTTCTAAAGCATTTAACAGGTAAAATTGCCCAAAGTTAACCTTAACCTATTGAATTATGATCTCTTCATATCTTCCATTAAATTTAATTTCTTTTTTGTCTATCCCATTATGCCTAGATTATATTTGATGCCCATTATATCCTCTACAACGATTTTGGACGTGTAGCCCATTTTAACTTTTTTTTTTTTTAGGTCATTTTCTTCTAGCTCCATGAGCTTTCACATCCAGGGTGAGCCATTGAGTCCCATATTGTGTATATATATTTGATTAAAATACCCTGTATTAAATTAAAGTTGTTTGGTAATTGAACAATTTTCCTTTGATATACCTTTAGACTGCCTCGGCAGTAGAAATGTCAAAAAAAAAAAAAAAAAAAAAAAATCTCCCTGAAGAAGCCTGTGAAGGCGAAACATGTAGGGAGTAACTACATAACCAAGTTTGAATCTCAGCTGTATTCTTAGAAATTTTTTACAATTTATTTTTTACAAAAATAATTTTAAAAAATTATATAACTTTTTAATGTTTGGTATTCATGTTCATGCACCCTGAAAGTCCCATCTTCTCTATTGAATATTTGCAATTTTAACCACCTTCCGCCCGCCATATAGTATGACGGGCACAAGGTAGTTCTCTCGTTCTGATAGGACATATGACGTCCTTCCATTCTCACCACGCATGCGCGGCTCAGATAGCATGAAGATCTCCGGTGCGCTGTGTCCCTCGGACACAGCGGATCACAGAAAGAGCCGAAGATGTTGGCTCGGTCATGTGATCAGCTGTGTCCAATCACAGCTGATCACATGTAAATACGGAAATGCCGGTTATCGGCACTGATGATCAGTGTGGCCCCAGAAGTACCACGTGCCAGGTCTCAGTGCCGCCTATCAGTGCCATGTATCACTGCCGCCTCATTGGCGCATATCAGTGAAGGAGAAAAATCACTTATTCACAAAATTGTATAACAAAAACTAAGAAAAATGTTTTTCAAAATTTTCAGTTACTTTTGGTTTGCTTAAGAAAAAAAAAAAAATCCCAGGAGGTGATTAAATACCACCAAAAGAAAGTGCTGTCTCAAAAAAATGATAAAAAATGTCATGGGTACAGTGTTGCATGACCACGCAATTGTCATTCAAAGTGTGACAGCACTGAAAGCTGGAAATTGGCCTGGGCAGGAAGGGGGTACAAGTGCCCTGTAGGATTGTGGTTTAAGGATGTGGTACAATAACCATATCTGGTCGCTCGCTCACCACTTCACTGTTTCCCCTCCAGAGGATTTACTCCCCCTTCCTGACCTGGCCATTTTTTGCTGATCGGCCCTTTGCTATTTCAACTTGTAATTAGCCGGTCATGCTGTACCCCAAATTAAATTTATGTCCTTTTTTTTACATAAATTGGAGCTCTTTTGGTGGTATTTGATCACCTCTGCAGGTTTTATTTTTACGCAAAAAAAAAAAAAAAAAAAAAAAAAAAAAAAAAGACGCAATATTTTTGGTTATAAAAAAATATCCAATAAACTCAAAGTTAGTCATAACTTTAGGCTAAAATGTATTCTGCTACATATCTTTGGTTAAAAAAAATTCTCAATGCATGTTAGTTTGTATAAAAGTTATAGAGTCTAAAAACACTGGTGTGCATACAAACATATTTATGTAGCTTTTACTTTGACTGCCCATCACATTTGAAGTACTAAAATATCACGTCAGTACAACTGACAATAAAATTTTAGTTTGGGTACAGTATTTAATACTTTTATAAGAATAGTACAATGTTACCCCATAGTAACATTGTACTACTGTGGGGGAGGCATAAGGTTTTTTTTTTTTTTTTTTTTTTTTTTTTTTTTTTTACACACTTAGCGTTGGCAGGAGAAATAAAGATAATTTCTCCTGCAATGCAAAGCTTGCTGTCATGAACCCAACTTATTCATGAACTGTCATGAATGAGTTAAGTTTCGACAGCTCAGGATAGTGATCTGTGATTGGCCCCATGTATCATGTGACAGCAGTGGGCCAATCACAGCTCACTAGGGAGAGGAGCAGAGCCCTTATGAATGAGATTGATTCATAACAGTTTTGCTTACTTTGTGATTGCATAGCGATCACATGATCACTGGGATCTTCATTCCGCTGGATACAGCAGTCGCAAGGGGTTAGTACAGCCAGAGCGAAGTACGGGTACGTAGCTTTGCCTGTAGCTGCCGCCCTACTGCAGTACATTGCAGGCAAGCAGCGGCTAAGATGTATGTTTATTTTATTAAACTTAAAAACTATACCTTTAAGTGAAACTACACACTGCAGGTGTGTTGAGGTATATGCCAGAGGAAAGGATGTTTTGGGCCATAAAAACAGAAAAAGAAAGTTTAGGAATAGAGGGGGAGAAATCACATACACGTGTAACACACAATTTTGCATCTCCGTGAGAGTGCGCACGCACCACCCTAGGCAGCTAAGCAAAAGAAATGTAGCAGAATACATTTTGGCATTAATTTGACGAAATTGGATTTAAATTTTGTTGGACATGTTTAACAAAAAATGTTTTTCTTCAAACTTTCTGTATAGCACACACACACACACACACACACACACACACACACACACACACAAAAAAAAAAAAAAACCCACACCACACATCCCACACGCACAGCTAATCCAATACCACCAAAGGAAAGCTCTATTTGTGGGGGGAGGAAAGGACAAAATTATGAAATTTACAGTGTTGCATGCATTGCCATAAATCCTCTGGAGGGCAAGTGGTTAATCTCTTAACAGGAGGAATTCCCCATGACTGGTGGACAGCCAATATTATACCTAACCACAAAAAGGGCAACAAGGTAGAAGCTGGCAAATACAGGCCAGTGAGTTTAACATCAGTTGTAGTCAAGTTAATAGAATCACTCCTGAAAAGATGGATCATTGATCACTATAAACACACAACTTGCTGGATCCAAAGCAGCATGGCTTTACTAACAGCAGATCATAGACTAATCTGATTGGATAAAACTCCTCTTCTTCCAGTGCTCCCGTCTTTTCTCCTGATAAGACCTATCGTATGAAGACATGCTCAGTTTGGTGTGTATTGCTAGAGGGTTTTTTTTCTTGGAAGAGTGCATGTCGTCAGCACAGAGCTAATAAGCACTGCCCAGACAGAGGTCAGGGGTTCCGCTTCCTCCTAGAGAAAACTCTTCTTACAAGCTTTAACCAGTGCTCTGCTGAACACTGATAGAAGTCACATGACTGCTCTAACTGCTGAGGAGAAAATGTATTTATCAGTTTATATTTACTAAAATAATTGCATTTCCATGTTCTGTGTACTGTTGGAGACCAGGTATAATGAGTGCAAGGTCCTGGGTTTAGTAACACTTTCAAAATTTAGATTAAGAAATATCGGTGATTGCCATTTGCATAAACCGCTACTAATTGAAGTTCATGGCTGCAAGATTTTGACAATGATTTTCAAAAGGAGGTCTCTATTATCGGTTACAAAGAAACCAAATACTTACAAAGTTTGTAACCGCAGTCCTTGCCCTTTCCATCGTCATCAAAACCCTAGAGAAAAAAAAAAAAAAAAAAAAAAAGTGTCAAAACATATCCTTCTCAGAGAAAACACTTCCAAAGTATAATACCTAATATTTATCAAGCCTATAAGGCTACGTTCACACTAGCCTTGTGTGCAGGCGGCAAAGAGGTGTTTGGGAAGCATTTTTACCGCTTCCCAAACGCCTCTGCCAATTCTGCACATTACAGCACATGGTGCTGTTCTAACGGGAGCGTTTGCGTCGCGGCAAAACGGACGCCTCTGGTCGAGTCAGGAGGCTCCTATTCTCGTCTATGGTGCCACTCCACAAACGCCCGGCCGGCGTTTGCGGTGCGGTTGCGACGCAGTTGCGGAGCGGTAACACCACTAAACTGTATTATAGGCGTTTGTGGGGCGTTAACGGCAAACGCCTAGCAACCGCCACTAAACCGCGCATGCGGCGTTTGCCGAGCGTTAAAAAACGCTCCGCAAACACCGGACCAACGCTTGCCAAACGCTATAGGGGCGTTTGGCAAGCCTTGGTAAAACAGCCAAGTGTGAACGAGCCCTAAATGATGCACCCAAATATGCACATACTAATACGTTATACAGTAGTGCTTCACAAGATTAGTAAGGCCTGTTCATACCTATGCAGTTTGCTTTTGATCCATTTTATAAATGCTTTTTGCATTGTGCTCTGCATTTTTGTCAGGTTTTGCTTTTTGTCAATTTGTTAAATTGGAAAAACACATGATTACAAAAAAAACCCCAAAAAACCCACACGTACATGCGTTTCAGTAGCTTCTCCATTGAACTCTAGTGTAGCAAGAACGATACTTTTCGCATTTAAAAAAGTCCCTGACCATTTCCAAGAACACAACAGCCCAGAAAAGCTTAGATGTGAACATGTCCCATAGGAAACCCTGTTAAATGAACTGTGGCGCATTTCTACAAAAGCACTAAAAAAAAAAAAAAAAACCCATACGCATTGGTGTGAACCAGGCCTTAGGTTCAGTTTATTTTCTACCCCTAACGTTTATTAGGTGTTCTTGCATGGCAATACCACTTAATGTTATCTCACATATTATAGCCAAATTTACCACCCTAACTCCTCCCACAGTTTTTACACTACATAGACAGTAATATACCGAAATGTGCGGATTGTTCCCGATTGGTGTGCTATTACTTTGTGGAACGTTTTACCAAATGGTTCACGAAATATCGGTGTTTTTGTGGTGAAATTGGTCCCATAGGAATGAATGGCAGTATGTTCAAAACTAGAGTGGGAGCTGAAAAATCAGGACGATTTCTAAACTGCCATCACTCCCTCATTTTCAAGCCCACCTACACAAATCTCATATCAAAACGTTCAGCTATCCCTGCTGCCACTAAAAATGTCATAAAAGCCATAGTCCTGATAGTTTTCACAATATGACCATTTGTTTGCAACTCACGCCGCCCATTGCCATTCATTGAAACTGTACTCTAGCCACCTCAAATTTAAAGGGCAATTTCTTAACTGCGACCGTGCCTTCATTTTTAATATTTGATACATACCATGCATCAAAATGTAGGTCTGGGTCTTGTGATTCTCACAATATAAAGCGCTTTGCTGTAGGATTTATAGTTTTTAAAACTATAAATAATTAAAAGTAGAAATGCATTTCTCACTGTATCAAGTTACTCTGCCCAGTCCAACCTTTTCACAGTTACTCCAGCCACTCCAACCACACAACAGTTACTCAAGCCACTCCACCCAGTTACTCCGCCCACTCCAGTTGTAGACTACTGGTGGAGGCAAGAACACTTCTACAATTTCTGGGGAAATTGTGTGCTTTTCTAGTTCTGACTATTCCCTTTTTCTTAAACAGAATAGGCTTGCCTATTTTCAGGTCGCTCCAGTCAGATGATCTGGCTCCCTTGTCAGCAAGGGAGCTGAGGGACCTCCAACAACAGATGGCCTGACATCACCACTGCCAGGCATTAACAGCCATTGTTGAGCACACTCTCCTCTTCCTTGCAGCTGATGCTGCCTAGCACATGGGAGATCACGTGACCAGAGCGACCTGAGATAAGTACACAGATCTTTTACACAGAAGAGCCTTATTGCAAGCTGAAATCCAGCATACATTTGGAAGTTGGAAATGTGTGCAGACAGCTTACTGAGCTACAGGTCAAAGATGTACAAGATAGTTTCAGGTGATGGCCACTTCCATCTATGTGAAAAAAGAATTTCTGCACCATTGTAATCTTTGTAGAACTTCATGTGTTACTTGTTTGAACTATGGCTAGGCAATTTATCATCATTTTGTAGCACTTCAATATTGTATACTATCTTTTCAAAGAAGAAACATTTCAAGAACTTTATTGGCATCCCAGTCTTAGTCCGGAGGGTTTCACTGAGTTGGCCCATCCTTTGCACCTATAACAGCTTCAACTCTTCTGGGAAGGCTGTCCACAAGGTTTAGGAGTGTGTCTATGGGAATGTTTGACCATTCTTCCAGCAGCACATTTGTGAGGTCAGGCACTGATGTCAGATGAGAAGGCCTGGCTCACAGTCTCCTCTCTAATTCATCCCAAAGATGTTCCATCGGGTTGAGGTCAGGACCCTATGCAGGCCAGTTAAGTGCCTCCACCCCAAACTTGTTCATCCATGTCTTTATGGATCTTGCTTTGTGCACTGCTGCGCAGTCATGTCGGAACAAAAAAAGGTCCCCAAACTGTTCCCACAAAGTTGGAAGCATAAAATTGTCCAAGATGTCTCGGCATGGGATGGTTATGATTAAGCGTGAGATCTTGTGAAACGCGTTAACAGGTCCTGTATTCATATCCTGGTGTTTTGTGTGTCCTATGGATCAATAAATACACACTATATTCATCTATCCTCAGTTGACCCTTCTTCCTATTGTATCATATGTGGATGCCTTAAGAGTTCCCTTCACTGGAACTAAGTGGCCAAGCCCAACCCCAGAAAAAACAACCCCACATCATAACCCCCCTCCACCAAACTTTAGTCCTGGCACAATGCAGTCAGGAAAGTACTGTTCTCCTGGCAACCGAAAATCCCAGACCCGTCCATCGGAAGGCCAGATAGAGAAGCACTATTAGTCACTGCAGAGAACACGTCTCCACTGCTCTAGAGTCCAGTGGCGGCATACTTCACACCACTGCATCCGACGCTTTGCATTGTACTTGGTGATGTAAGGCTTGGATGCCACTGCTCTGCCATGGAAACCCATTCCATGAAGTCATCTACACACTGTTGTGCTAATCTGAAGGCAGCACGAAGTTTGGAGGTCTTTAGCTAATAACTCGACAGTTGACGACTTCTGTGCACTTCATTTTACGTGGCTGAGTTGATGTTGTGCCCAGTTGCCTACACTGTGTTATAATACCACTAACAGTTGGCCATGGAATATTTAGTAGCAAGGAAATTTCACGGATGAACTTATTGCACAGGTGGCAACCTATCACAGTACCACACTTCAATTCATTGAGCTCCTGAGAGTGACCCATTCTTTCACAAATGTTTGTAGAAGCAGTCTGCAGGCCTAGGTGCTTGGTATTATACACGTGTGGCCATGGAAGCGATTGAAACACCTGAATCCAATGGTTTGGAGGAGTGTCCTGATAAGTTTGGCAGTATTTCTATCAGGTGCACAATGCTTTCCACAGCAGATTCTACAATCTTCTCATCTCTCGATTGCAGCTAGGGCAAAAGTAGAGGGCCAACAAGTTTTGCACTGCATTGTGAGCATGCAAAATTAGCAATGTCTTAGGACCTCATTAATGTTTTGGTTAAAGTAATCTTGCAAAACACCATTTTCACCAGTCATGATGAAATTCCCAAGATCCTTAACCATTTCCATACCGGGCACTTTTCCCCTACCTGCCCAGGCTTTTCAGGTTTCAGCGCTCTCACACTTTGAATGACAATTGCACGGTCATACAACATTGTACCCAAACAAAAATTTTAGCATTTTCTTCACACAACTAGAGCTTTCTTTTGGTGGTATTTAATGACCGCCGGGGTTTTTATTTTTTGCTAAATTAACAAAAAAAAAAAAAAAAAAAGATCGAAAATTTTGAAAAAAAAAAAAAAACGTTTCTTTACGTTATAAAAGTTTGCAAATAAATAAATTGTTCTTCATAAATTTAGGCCAAGATGTATTCTGCTACGTCTTTGGTGAAAAACCCAAATTAGGATGTATTTTTTTAGTTTGTAGGAAAGTTATAGAGTTCACAAACTATGGTATAGATCTGAATATTGATCAATCCTGAAGTACTGACAGCCAATCTAATTTCTTGAGGTCCAAGAATGACAGAACAGTACAGATATCCCCCAAATGACCCCTTTTTGCAAAGTAGACAGTCCGACGTATTTCGTAAGAGGCATGGCGAGTATTTGAAGTCATATTTTTGTCAATTTTTCAGGAAAATGAAAAAATTAAAAAAAGTCACTTTTTTTTACATACTGTCACCAGTGCAGTACAGCGTCATCATAACTGGCATGGCGGTGATCAGGGATACTGACTGGTGACAGTATGAAAAAAAAATATTTTTAAATTTTGTTTATTATTTTTAATTACTTCTACGACATTTTTTTTTCATATTTCACTATGTCCAAAGTAGTACAATGTTACCATAGTAACATTGTACTACTTCTGGGAAGTGATCAGTTATTTGTTTCCCCCCCCCCCCACAAAATTTGCTTATAGCAAAGAATTACTTGCTATAAGCAAGCATTTACCTGAATGACAGATTCATTCAGGTTTTTTTTTTTTTTTTTTTTTTGCTTAGCTGTGATTTGGCCTTAGCTAATCACATGACATGTGCATGTGATCACTGTGACCATTCACAGCTAGACACTAGTATACAATGGATGGTATAAATGAAGCCATCCATTGTATACAACTGTCATGTGACCTGCTGTGATTGGTCACAGCAGGTCACATGGTACCGGCAACGGGGGCCAGTACTCAGATCTGTCATCGGCCGTGTCCGAGGTACACGGCCGGTGACAGA